TTCCATCCCACACCAGTCCGTGGAAAAATTGTCTTCCACAAAACCAGCCCCTGGTGCCAAAAAGGTTGGGGACCACTAGCCTAGCTGACTTTAAGTAGTTCACGTACTCAATAACAACTGTTATTTGTTTTTATGTATTGCTGGGTTTTGCTGGGTTTGAGTTTGTGTGTGTGTGCTTTTTATGCACCACATTTATAGCCCTTTCATATCAGCTACAAAAATTGGAATCTCCTTCTGACAGATCAATGAATGCCCTTATAAAGTGTGTGTTTATGAAAATGCACACATCACACTGCTCTTGATGAAGATTTTTTAACTTTACAAAGTGCATTCATACCTCGTTAAATACAACATGTCTGTGTTAAAATGGTTATACTGAGTATAAAAAATGCTTAAACTATCTCCAGGTCCAATATCTTGAACCAAATCTATATCTATATCTATATCTATATCTATATCTATCTATCTATAGATAGATAGATAGATATTGATATAGATATCTATATAGATATCTATATATACACACACACAAATATTTGTGTCCCTCAGCATAAATGGGAGAGATTCTTGGCCTCTTTGTGAGGTACTGGCCATTTATTTCATTGATGTTCAATAAATAAAAAGAATCGATCCAAAGGTTTTTCTTGTCTTTCTAAAGACTTCTGTTTAATATGCTGCATTTCATTACATTAACCAGGAGCTTGGCTGTGGAGCTTTTTCTCTTTATCACCATGCCTATTGCCTTTCTGTTTAAAGAAGCTCGAACCTGAACAGCCCCTAGAGGATCATTTCATTCAGTGGTTGAGTGTGGTCCCTCAACAGCAGGGATTAGAATCAAGTGAATGAGGCACTCGTCTTAGGTCCAAAATGTAAAGGGGTGCCAAAAAGCTCAGTAGTTAAGATAAACAGTATCTTAATGCCATATTTAGAAGAATCAAAAGTAATGCAAAGGTTTGTGATAAATAAATATCAAAATGTAAATAGGATTTCTATCTCAAAGAATAGATTTCTCTTGGATTCCCTCTGTCTGTTAAAGTCACCATCATCATAGCCTTGGTGTCTAAATCAGCAGCACCAGCCACACCTGGGAGTTATTTTTTGGCATGCAGCTATTCAGGTCCCATCTTAGTCCTCGTCCAACAGAGGCTAAGGGTGGGTCCTAGCAATCTGTATTTGAAAAAAGCTTCTAGGTGATGCTGATGTAAGTTCAAGTTTCAAGCTTTCCCTGTGGCTTTTGCATGAGGTATGTAAACAATTGGCCTGGCCCAATGCCTTCATAGGACACACAGGAAGGGGACATTTTAGTAACACAGCTGAGAATTTCTCTGTGAGTTTGGGGCCCTTTCTGGTCTATTGCACTGCTGCCCACCCATTCTTCTGACCAAGTGTGGTCAGTAATATGTTCTATGCCATATTTATCAGGATTTCTCAGGAATCTGTTCCCTTCTGGGAGATGAATCATTTTGCTTCTATTTATTCCTGGTGTCATACAATCAAATAGAGAAGAAGCCATATAAGGTCTCCTGAGAGGGATTGCTAACAGCAGTGATTTCCACCTTAGTGCCATATTAGAATCACCTGAGGAGCTTGGGAAAGAACCAAGACCCAGACCTCATCCCAACTAACTAAATACGAATCTCTGGGGGTAGGCCTTGAGTATTGGAATTTTGTTTTTTAACTCGAGTGGATTGTAATATGCATCCAGAGCTGAGAATGACGAGGCTGGCAAACTTGGGAGGATTCAGATCTGGTCTAATGCCATATTCACTGTCACTGTCCACGAATCATAAGCTAGACATCATTCTTATCACCTTCCTTGTTATCATCCTCTTTATTTTACATTTATTTGTGTGACCATTTAATCAATATCTTTATTCTGCAGTAGAATTTGTGATGACAGGAGCCTCATCTTCTTTTGCTTATCACTGAGTCCACAGCAGCTAGCTAGTGTTTGGACATAATATGTGTTGCATAAACACTTGCTCAAACAATGAATGAACAGCCAAATAAACAATTTTATGGGCCTGAAGAATTGCACAGGAAAGATCTCAAAACCAGAGACTGCCTTTTTAATCCAGGCTCTGACACTTTCTAGCCATGTTACCTTTGCAAAGGCCTTTTGCTTCTTGGGCTTCAGTCTTTTTAAACACTGAATCGGTGGTTTTTAAACTAAGTTTTGCTGAATCCCTCAGGATCAGTGAGTGATAAGGAGGAAAAAAGAGAAGGCTGAAGGGGCAAGTAGAATAAAGTCATTTTAATCTATTTCTGGGTAATTTATTTTGAAAGAAGGATTTAGTTCCTAAAACAAAAATAGTTAAAAACCACTGGTCTAGAAGTTACCTAAATCCCCTTCTGGCTGAACACTTCTGTAAAACTGGATGTTTGCCAAAGGAGACGACTCACAGAGTTCTGAGAAGACTGAACAGCTGGCAAGTCAGGTTTCTGTTTCTCTAGAAGGCTGTAAACCTGCGTGCAAATACAGGTGGGCTTTTCTTTTCAGGAAAAGCCCTGTAGCAATAGAGCCCACTTATTTAGTTGCATCTGCCCAAACACAGCAGACAGACTGAGTCCTCCCACTTCCTGGGCAGGCAATTTCATAGGCTTTCCAGACTGTCCGACTCAATTAAGGATATTTACTAAGAGCACATTCCTGGGTGAGTGGTTCAGTCTCCCAGCTGCAAAGATGATTGAAGCACCTGCGTTTCCATTGTGCACACCTGAATTGAGGTTCGCCTCTCTTCTCTTCATTCTTAGTTTTTAGGGAAAAACACAATCTCAACAAAAACACATTTTCTTTTCATGTTAATTAAAATGCCTGTCCCAGGAATAGGATAGACTTTCCCTGTGGCCTTTGCATGGGGTATGTAAGGTGAAGAGGGAATTAAAGTTATTTTCTGCTGTAATGGGCCTTGCCTGGAGCCCTCTGCGACCTTGGGAGAGAGAGTGGGAGGCAGAGATCTGACCTCTCATTGTTTCCCCAGAGTACAACTCAATTATCTGTTTTACCTTTGGGGTTTCAGTTTATATTTCATTTAAATCAAAGTTTGCATGGCTTTCAAAAAGAGAAAGAGTAGGTTTTGGAATCTATGCGTTTAGAGGATGCAAATAAAAACCTAGCACTTATATTTGCCTTAATTACAGTACCTGAATTTTTTATTTACGGTTTCTGGGTAATTTCTTTCCTCCTTTGTCTATAGAAATGTTGCTAGGTTTTGTGGCAATATCTAGTTTATTCACAAAAATTAAATTCTACCCATTCTAAACATTTTACCACATTATATTACTGAGTCTGCTGTTAGCTTAAAATGACGAATATATTCATGCGTTATTTAGGAGTAGCATTTTTTCTTTTATTACTCCGTCTTTTAATTTATTGGTCTCAAATGTTAGCATGCATCAAGATCACCTGCAGGGTTTATTGAAAAAGGGAGTGCTGGGCCCCATCCGCAGTTACTCATTCAGTAGGTTCAGGTCGAGTACTTGAAATGAAGTTGTCAGGGATGTGTAAGGCACAGCTGAAAGGCCATATCCATGGGTGCTGTGCTTGCTCAATCAATCTTACACAGAATGTCTATCTGGAGGGCTTACTGCCTTGTGCAGGCAGCCCAGTTGGGTTCCCTCATTCATACCACCGCTGCTGTTGATAGACACAAGTGTTTTCACCAGGGGTCAGAATAGAGCATAGCTCTGAAAAGGGATTTGAGAATCAGAAGGGCCCCTCTGCATCCAGGTTTTCCCCTTCTTCAGATCTGCCTCCACAGCTGCTCTGTGAAATCTCGCCATTATTCCTGGGTTTCTTGGTGAGGCACTATGCCTTTTTTAAATGCCAGTACCTGGTGAAAAGATGGGGATACTTTGAACGTTTAACAACTGAGTACATTTGAAACTGGTAGAAGAAGTAAATGGAAAAAATCTAGAACTTTAGAATTGGGTGCAATCTCATGTTTCAGTCTTCTAATTTTAAAAGGTGGAAATGGAAGGTCAAAGAGGTTAAGTGATTCTCCCCAAAGTTATAAAGTCAGTCTGTCAAAACACAGTGGGGCAGAGGGATTGGCATTGACCAAGGAGGGCAGGCCTGGAGGGAGAGAGGATCTGGAGATCTGAAAAGGTCCCAGAGTGTGAGGCCTGGTGGGACATGTGGTGGGGAGAGGAGACAGTGGGAGGAAGAATGAATCCCTCCTGTGCTTCTTGCTGTTAATAACCATCCACTGGGCCCCAGATTTGAAACCGCAGAGTTGCCTTTCACTTGCTTCTCTCTGTCCTCACCTAAGCACCATAGTGACTTATCAGCAGTTTCCTCCTTTTACGGGAGTTTCCTCCAGTTACCCCTGCCACTGCTGAAGTCCGGGTCCTCTTTGTCACTGTTCTTGCAGACTCTTAACTCTTTTTCTGGCCTTATTGAAATCAGTCTTCCAAACAGCCATGAGAATTCTCTATGAGCAAATGATACTCTTATTTAGGGACCTTCAGGAGCTGCCTAGAGCCTACAATATAGCAATCCCATCTTCTCAGTGTGATGCCCAGGTTGGTCCATTTCCCTAAATCTACCTTGCTCTTTCAATTTTATTCCTTACGCTTTCTTCCATGCAAACTATAGCCCACCCACACCACAGGACTTAGAATTCCCTAATTATCTAATTATACCCTACACTTTCACACCCTGATTTTGCCTAAGCTATACTCCATAATGACTTCCTCTTAAAATCAAATTTTTTCCAGTTATTTAAGGCCAAGACCAAATGGTCCTCTATGGAGGCTTCCTCCTCTGCCAATTAGAAATAATTTTTTACCCTCTCTGATGACCTGTGAGCATTTTGTTTGTGAATCTGTGATAGGCCTAGCTTGATTAATATCTGCATAAGAATATGCTTCTGAGCACTCCTGTACACATATCCTACTGTCCTTGGTCCTGAAAAATAACTGAGTGGCTGTTTATCCTTATTCCAGGATTCCAGTTATTCTTGCCCAAGCACTCACCGAAATTTTCATTGAGTGTTTTCATTTTTTATCATGACTGGAGAGTTGAAATTTGAACTCTGCCTCAGAGCAAAATTGAAGCATGGCGCATATATATATATATTGCTGGGTTTAAAACCTTAGGGAAGTTCTGGCACATCCAGCAGTGACAGATTATTCCTGCTACCTCTAGAAAGTCAAGAATATATATATATTGCTGGGTTTAAACCCTTAGGGAAGTTCTGGCACATCCAGCAGTGACAGATTATTCCTGCTACCTCTAGAAAATCAAGAAGGGGAAATCTTTCTCTCCTGTGTGCCTGCCACCATGTTTCTTGCTTGTGAGTCCTGACATTTTTCCTGGTCTGGTCTTACTCCTGTCATCTTTGGAATGTTTTATCTCTTAGGTATTCTGGAGCTTACAGTCTTATTCACTAGAAAGGAAGCTGCATAGAATTTTCTTCTGAGTCATCAAAAGACAATCCTGGCATGTAGTGGCAATGCAGGAAATATGGACTTGAACTTGTAGGAAGGTAGGAGGTGGATACTAAAAATAACCTTTATTTCTTTTCCACTTTTTGGCAGAGTATTACTATTTGCTTCAGGGAACTTAGAAATGCCCATATCATTCCTGAATTCAAACCTGCACATTCAGCCATAGAGGATCAGTTATTTTATTTATTTATTTTTTCCTGAGATGGAGTTTTGTTCTTGTTGCCCAGGTTGGAGTGCAATGGCGCGATCTTGGCTCCCTGCAACCTCCACCTCCCAGATTCAAGAGATTCTCCTGTCTCAGCCTCCCAAGTAGCTGAGATTACAGGCATGCGCCATCACGCCCGGCTAATTTTGTATTTTTAGTAGAGACAGGGTTTCACCATGTTGGTCAGGCTGGTCATGAACTTCTGACCTCAGGTGATCTGCCCACGTCAGCCTCCCAAAGTGCTGGGAATACAAGCGTGAGCCACCACACCTAGCAAGAATCAGTTCTTAAAAGGCAGAGCCTGTCAGTAACTACAATACACACTTCCTTGTGCCCCAGCCTCAACACAGAGTGTAGCTTTTTCTGTAGACAGATCATTTATTCCTTCTTTCAACAAATGACTCAGAAACAGGGCAAGTACTAGGGATACAACAATTAAAAAGGCAGATACTGCTCCTGTTTAATCGTAATATGAATACTAATTACCATGGAAACATACAGCTTGGAAGTAAAACCCATTGGGAAGATTCAGAAAAATGTCTCTGAAGAAGTGACATATAACATAAGCCTTGAAGAATGTGTATGAGACACCCAGATGAAGATGGAGAATAGAGTATTTTGTACAAAGGGAACAGAACTGTGGAAACTCAAAGGAAAGACAGTGGCGACTTAAATCACAAATATAGCACTGCCTCCAGGGAGTCTCTTCTGCCCCCCTCTCAGTCTTGGGACAGGGACCCCTCCTATATGTGTTCCCGAGCATTCTATACTTCCATCATTGTAGCTTTTATCACCCTGCCTTGTAACTGCCTATTTACTTTTTGATCTTTCCCATTAAATAATAAAATCTATAAGAGCAAGAACTATGTCTGTCTTGACTACCACTGTATCTCTTGCATTTGGCACAGTGCTGAGTATGTGATATTTTAAAGTAAATGCCCTGCACACAGCCTCACTACTCACCACGCACATGCATGCCTGCCTGGCTGCCAAACATCAGCATCTGAAGTGTTGGGCAGAGCAGGCCTTGCAGGCAAAGAGTCACAAGCCCCAGGGAATTAACAGTCCTGAAAGCAGCCTCAACCAAGGACTGTCAGGGTTGGTGGGTAAATACTACAGCAGCTCTCTTCACCCTAAAGTGAGATAAGGCCTCAGCCTAGAGTTACATGCTCTGCAGGAGGCTTAAGCTCCAGTGGCCCCCTGAACTAAACTGCTTAAGAATTCATTATTCACTGGGGGCCTTCTGTTCCTTCCTGACTTCCCTATTTCCTACCAACATTTCCTGGGATCACTCTCATAAGAAAAACACTCTCAACCAGATCTTTGACTCAGAGTTGGCTTCTGGGGGGAGCCAACCTAAAATGGTACTCACCAAGTATAAGTCAAATGACTGAGTTCCCTCCAGATTCAACCACTTAGGGCTTATGCGAATTATTACCTCCCTGAGACTTCACCCTTGTCCCCATTTCCCTGCAAAATGTCCTCACTATCTTGCCAGGTTGGTGCTTGGCTCTAGCAACATATGGCGTAGGAAAAGCCTGCTGGAGCTTCAATGAGTTGTTGAAATGGACCATTGCCCTGTCACATGCCCATCTGGCCCAGCTGGGACACAGCTGAGTAAGAGCCAAATGGCTAGAAGAGCTTTTTGACTGTCTGCCTTGACCTTAAGAAGCTACAACCTGCTTAGCTATTCCTGAAGTGAGTCCAGACCCCGAGGGAAAACACAGTGGTTTTAATGAGAAGTAGTTTTCTGCAGGTTACCCACAGCTCTGGGGCCTGTTTCTGCCTCCTGGCTTAAGTAGCAGTTGTGGATCCTTAGAAACAGCTACTAACTATTCTAGTGTCCTAACATAGGGAGCCAGAATCTAGTTTATCTGTGACTTACATTCATTCAAAAAATGGTGCTGGATATTTCTAGTTAATGTAACAGTAACAGTGATGACAGTTAGCATGATGATAGCAGGTGTCATTTATTGAGTCCATTTTGTGAGCTAGGAAACACTCCTGTAAGATAGTTACTATAGCCATCATTCTTGCAAATAAGAAAGCTGAGGCTTGGAAAAAGTGAACTTCTGCTCAGTATCACACATTAGCAATTTATAGAGTCAAACTGGTAGCCTGAATCTTATACTGTGTATTCCTTATTAGATTTTCCATCACCAGCTGGGTGCGGTGCCTCACACCTGTAATCCCAGCACTGTGGGACGCTGAGGTGGGTGGATCACTTGAGGTCAAGAGTTTGAGACCAGCCTGGCCAACATGGTAAAACCCCATCTCTATAAAAAATACAAAAATTAGCCAGATATGTTGGTGCAGCCTGCAGCCTCAGCTATTCTGGAGGTTGAGTGGGGAGGATTGCTTGAAGTCGGGAGGTGGAGGCTGCAGTGAGCCCATATGGCACCACTGCACTCCAGCCTGGAAGACAGCACAAGACCTTGTCTCAAAAGAAAAATTTTTTTAGGCTGGGAGCATTGGTTCACACCTGTAACCCCAGCACTTTGGGAGGCTGAGGCAGGTGGATCGCCTGAGGTTAGGAGTTTGAGACCAGCCTGGCCAACATGGTGAAACCCTATCTCTACGAAAAATGCAAAAATTAGCTGGGCATGGTGGTGCACACCTGTGGTCCCAGCTACTCAGGAGACTGAGGCACAAGAATCACTTGAACCTGGGAGGCGGAGGATACAGTGAGTCAAGATCATGTCACTGCACTCTAGCCTGGGTGACAGAGCAAGATTCTGTCTCAAACAAACAAACAAAAAAATTCCATTACCAGAATAAAGAATTAAGATGTTCACTGAAGACAGAGCTGCCACAGCTTTTCTTGATCCTACATATAGTATTATCTGCCATAGCACCCATGCTAGCAAAGGCTGAGTGGAAAGCCTATGCTTTCACATATAAGAGTCTGTAATGAAATATCTCAACATCCCACTGGGGTGAGATCAGAGAATTCCATGTAGGAAGCCAGGACTGTGTCCCACCTATGTAGTAATGAGCAACCCCTGGCCTGAAGTGTCTGTGCAAACCTTGTAAGAATGCTGAGTTTCCATTCTCCTGAGCCCCTGGCCGTGGTAAGGTACCCCTTGTCCTCTCTGTTAGGGGTGTGTTATAAGAGGCCTAATAGAGAGTCAGAACCTTCACTACTACCCAGCAGAAACAAGGCCTCCCCACAACATAGTGTCACTGAAGGCTATGTGGGAAGCAGTAACAAGGAACTCATACTCATTCCATACAAGAAGGTACGAACAACAATGGATTTTTCATCAGATATCACAGAAGGCGGAAGGAAGTGGCTCAATAGTTTTTCAAGTGTTGAAAGAGAAGAACTTCCAAACTACAATCTAATATCTAGTGAAAATATCCTTTTTTTTTTTTTTTTTTTTTTGAGACAGACTATTGCTCTGTCTCCAGGCTGTAAAAACAAAGGGGCTATCCAGTTTTCCCAATACCATTTATTGAAGTGACTATTCTTTTCCCATTGGATATTCTTGGCACCTTTGTCAAAAATCAATCAACTATACATGAGTATGTTCATTTCTGGGCTATTTTGGTTGTCTGTAAGTGTATTTTAGGCCAGTACCATGATGTTTTGATTACTATAACTTTGAATAATAGTTTGAAATCAGGTGGTGTAATAACTCCAACTTTGTTCTTTTTCTTCACAATTGTCTTGGCTATTTGAGAATTTTTGTAGTTCCATATGAATTTTAGAATTGTTTCTTCTATTTCTATGAAAAATTTTAACATTGGAATTTTGATATGGATTGCAGGGAATCTGTAGATTGCTTTGGCGAGTATAAATATTTTAACAATATTAATATTTCCAATCATTAATATGGAAAATATTTTCATTTATTTGTGTCTTCTATAGTTTCTTTTATCAATATTTTATGGTTTTCAGTGTGCAGGTCTTTTACCAACTGAGATAAATTTATCCCTAAGTATTTTATTTTATTTTATTTTATTTTGTACCTATTGTAAAATGGGGTTGTTCTTTTTATTTCTTTTTCAATTAATTAATTCTAGAATTTATAATTGATACATAATAATTGTACATATTTAGACAGTACAAGTTACTGTTTCATTGCATGTATATATTGTATAATAACTGAGTTGGTGTAAAGTATTAAATCCATTACTTTAAACATTTTTCCTTTCTTTGTGGTGACAGCATTCAAAAACTTCTCTTTTAGCTCTCTTAAAATACACACTGTTACTTGCTAAAGTCACCCTACTATGTAATATATGACCAGAACTTATTATTTCTGCCTAACCACAATGTTGTACCTATTGGCTAACCATCCTGGTTCCCTTCTCCCATCTCCCATCCATAGCCTCTGGTAATCACTATTCTACTCTCTACTTCTATGAAATCAACTTTTTTAGATTTCACATAGATTGATACATTTATCTATAGACAGGAATGTAGGTTGATTCCCTATCTTGGCTATTATGAATAGTGCTGCAATAAACATAGAAATGAAGATATCTCTTCAACATATTGATTTCATTTCCTTTGTATATATACCCAGTAATAGGATTACTGGATCAAATGGTAGCTCTAATTTTATTTTTTTGAGAAACCTTTATACTGCTTTCCATAATGGCTGTACTAGTTTACATTTCTACCA